ATATCAACAAACTGTCCAGTGAGAGAGTAAATAGCATGATACTGAAAGGATTTAATTATTTTCATTTAATGACACTTTTTAAAACAGACCCTATTGAAAATATTTTGTTTTTTTTTTGTTTTTGTTTTTTTTTTTTTTTTTTATTAAGACAAATTCTCACTATCTATACCAGACTGGCCTGCAATTTGCTGTGTAGTCCAGGCTGGCCTTGAACTCATAATTTCATTGCAGCTTCCTCAGTGCTGGGATTACAGGCATACAGTTCCATGTCTAGCCTAGCTAGTCATTTCTTCAGGATAAAGTTTCAACCCTTGAGCCACTTTTCTCCAACTTCATCTCCCACTGTCCATAGGCACTTGTTTCCAGATGATGGTGGAACTCCATCCCTCTGCCTAGAACACTTTCTTGCATGTACCGCCTTTATATCCTACTATCACCTTGTATTTGTTCATGACAAATCCAACCAGTAGGGGATTCTAGAAAGTTCCATGACTGGCCAAAGTTGTTCAGGTTACTCTTCAGTTTGCTTTTAGCAGCCTTCTCTTCCCTTGTGGAGGAAGCTAGGAGGTCATATGGTAATGGGTTACTTACACATGTCTACCAGCAGACATGAGACCCTAGACTCAAAAGTTTTCCTGTCTTACTGTTGTAGCCCCTACAACTAATAGCATCTTGAACTCTAGAAATGTTTTTGTAAGTTGTCATTGCAAATTATAGATACTGTAAATCTATGCTTTACTTTCAGTTCAGAAGAGGAGGATGAAAAACAATGGCAAGAAAGAATGGATCAAAAGCAAGCTTTACAGGTATTTAAATAACTTGGGAATTCAGAGTGTATTTTTAAAAATTTTATTTGTTATTGTCTTAGTTTGTTTCTTCATTGCTGTGACAAAACACTCTGACCACTACCAACTTGGAGAGGAAAGGGTTTATTCAGCTTATATCTCCCAGGTCGTAGTTCATCAGGGAGCCCAAGGTAGGAACTCAGGGCAGGAACCTGGAAGCAGGAGCTGGAGCACAGGCCATGGAGGAATGCTGCTTACTGACTTGCTCCCCTGGCCCTTGCTCAGTCTGCTTCTTATGCAACATAGGCCCACATGCCCAGGGGTGGCCGGCTGCTGATGGTTCTCCAGGGGGTTGATGCTAAACATGCTTCTCATCAGCTGCACACTGTGACAGGGAAGACTCTAAGGGCAGCTGTGAGGGTCATATAGGCTGTGAATACCACCTGCTCACAGTGGCAGTGCAGGGCACAGTCATCAGCACTCCAGGCTGCAGGCAGGGTAAAGGTGATGTTGATCTCCTCATGTGCTTCCCTGCCTGAGAGTCCAATCTGATGTCCCAGGATAGTGGAGTACAGGTGTGTGACATTTCGAGAGTACCCTCCAAAAGCCTTGAGAGGGTCCAGGATAAGGGTAATGGCCACTGAGATGTTGATGGGGCCTGACTCCTCCAGGGCCTGGGGTGGCTGGGTGGACACTCTGGCCTACCCGCTGGTCATGGTACTCTTGGGGGTGGTGGTATCATTGGAGAGATGCTTCAGTGTCTCGTTTTCTGATGCACACAAGTCCAAATCATTAAACCGCAGTAGAAAAGTATTCTAATCCTCAGTCATTTCTGGGGATTTAATCTCCTTGATCTTGAAGGAATAGCCCAGGGTGAGGAAGGCAATGGCCATGGCGCTGACACTCTTCATGAAGACCACCTAACACTGCTTACTGGCTTGCTCCCCTGGTCCCTACTCAGCCTGCTTTCTTATGCAACACAGGTCCACCTTCCCAGGGGTGGCACCACCTACAGTGGGCTGGGCCCTCCCACATCACTCATCAGAAGATGCCCCTCAGACATGGCCACAGGCCAGTCCAATAGGGGCAGGGGCAGTTACCCAACTGAGGCTCCCTCAACACAGGTGTGTCAAGTTGACACTAAAGCTATCCAGCACAATTGACCCCTTGTCAACTTGACACAAACATCACTATTAAACCATAATTTTCCAATTTCTGTCCCCAAGATATGATGTTAATATCACAACATAGACAGTACAACCTTAAAAATCC